ATGGCATCTGAGTGTGATTTGAGTGTGTGTTTTTAGTGCTTTCAAGTTCAAGCAGATTTTTACTGACCAACCCCTCCACACCAGCCTGCCCTTTCCCAAGTGTCAGAATAAACGGTACAAGGTCAGTTCATTACCAGAGATAGACCTACCAATCGGGTACTCTTTTCTCTCCCAGAAGCAGAGCTAAACCACACCACCAAGCTGAGTTACCCTTCAAACTGCCTGCTCTATTGCTGAGCCAGACACGAACTCTCCTCCTTCCAAGCTTCCCTCCAACTTCCTACCCCCATTCTCAAAGGTGATTGGATGCTGGAGCCACACTCCCATAGTGTCAGTCGAGTGGCTGTTTTTCTCTTCAGGGGCGGGACAGACTCCGGTCTGTCATATAAAAGTTTCTTTTGCTTTAAAGCCAGTTGAATCCGACTCTAGGGGGTCAGTGCTCATCTCCGTTTCCAAGCTGAAGAGCCAGCGCTGTCTGAAGACTTTTCCGTGGTCATGTGGCCAGCATGACTAAAAGCTGAAATGCATGGAATGCTGTTACCTTCCCACTGAAGCTGTACCTGTTTATCTACCTGCAATTTATTGCTTTCAAACTGCTAGGTTGGCAGGAGCTGGGGTCAGAGATGGGCGCTCACTCCGTCAAGTGGCACTAGGGTCTCAAACTGCCAAGCTACCAACCTTCCGGTCTTAATGCAGCCCTGCCATTCAGGCTTGTGTTACAATCTTTCTTTCACCCCACACACTTCTGCTGTTTGTAGCTTTGAATCTGACCTCTAGTTTAGAAAGTGTATGCCATGTGTTAAGTCTTTAAAGTGCCTCAAGCCTCCTTTTACTTTGCTTGCAATGTCAATATATCCTATGCTAATTATATCTTGGTAAAAAGTACTGTCAAAATTGCATTGGAAACCTGTATCAGTTAGGTTGTATTTCATCAATGAAGGATTAATAAATTACATTTATTCAAACTTTTATTACAGAGTGGAAGTGTCTTTCCAATCTCAGCTCGTATCTTTTATGTGTAAAAATTATAATACAGAGTATTTATAATCCTCAGTGTAGGGATAATAGTGATACCATTACCAGCAGGGGCATTAACACTGGAGGGAGCAGGAGGTTGGCAACTATAGGAATTCATAAGAAGTCAGTGACACCCCCCCCCCAATATGGTGGCTGTGGGTGTTATAATTTCTATTGATGTGTTTTCTAGTGGCACCAGACTAGGGTTGCCAGCCTCCAGGAGGGGCCTGGAGATCTCCCGCTTTTACGACTGATCTCCAGCTGACAGAGATCAGCTCCCCTGGAGAAAATGGCTGCTCTGAAGGATGGACTCTATGGCATTGTACCATGCTGAGGCCCCCTCCCCTCCCCAAACCCCACCCTCTCCTGGATCCACCCCCAAAGTCTCCAAGTATTTTCTAACCCAGAAGTGGCAACCCTACACCAGACTGGTGCCTACTTGCTGTTTCTCCAAAGTAAAAAGCAACTTCTCACTTTCCCCTGCCTTAGTGGAGCACAGAATGCTTTGGAAGACATCACTTTTGGGCCTGTAGGAAGCATCCATTCAGAAACAGCTGCTCTTAATGTGGCTTGGAGTCTCCATGGCAGCCATTTCATGATTGATTCTGCTTCCCATGGCAGCCATTTTATGGTGGCTCCCACTTGTTTTTTTTCAAACAGGGTTGGGAAGCCCAGGATTAGAAAAAGTCACGAGCCCTGTAGGTATGGTTACCAATAGGCCTTGAGAAAAATGTTCTGTCCCTTTAATAGAGACTGAATGTGCAGAAAAAGGCAGCTGAAGCTAATATTATCTGGTCAATAACATGCCATTAAGCTGCTGTTCCTCCAGGAAATTGGCAACCCTATGTAGAACTGGTGTGCCTGTGTTACAACTTCATGAAATTATCATTAGCAATAATTCCATAGGAGTAGCCATATTAGTCTACTGCCACAAAATAAAACAAAAGTTCACTGGCACTTTCAAGATTAACAAAATTTGTTCAAGTATAAGAAAACCCATTGTAGTCACAACAGAATACAACCAGATACTAAATTTTGCAGGATTAGTTTCTTTCACTAGCTACAAAAATAATTTGTTCAGATTGTAGGCTAGGCCTTAATTGTTCTCTTTACCTAGTTTTATGCCATAGAAAGAACCCCCAAATCAGAGAGGGTACAAAAACATAGAATTATAGAATCACAGAGTTGAAAGGGGCCATACAGGCTATCTAGTCCAACCCCCTGGCTCAATGCAGGATCAGCCTAGCATCCCTACAGAAGCATGGAATCATGATGCATCATGATCACGTGCATTTTTTCTCACAAGCAAAACCCATGGCATTTAAAGGTAATTAAGATCTGTCTTTCTGATGTGATTCCTGTATCTTTAACAGGTAAATAACTGGAAACATTGAACAGGTGAACTATCTACTACTGAATATCTGGTGGTATGTAGTTATTAAAGGTGCAAGAGCCTGGTCCCCCCAACTTTAAAAGATGAAAAAACTTACAGTGTTATATCTTATATAGCTATTATTTTTAAAGCACATTGTAAACCTTTTAGGTTAAACTACTAACTGCAGGCTGTGGAAGGTCGGTAGTTCAGCAGTTCGAGACCCGAGTTGCCGCATGACTGAGTGAGCTCCTGTCTCTAGTCCCAGCTCCTGCCAACCTAGCAGTTCGAAAGCAAGAAATTGCAAGTAGATAAATAGGTACCACTTCAGTGGGAAGGTAACAGCGTTCTGTGCGCCTTGGTGTTTAGTCATGCCAGCCACATGACCACAGAAACGCCTTCGGACAGCGCTGGCTCTTCGGCTTTGAAACGGAGATGAGCACTGCAACCCTAAAGTCGGATTTGACTGGCTTTCGAGCAAGGGAACCTTTACCTTTACTAGCTACCATATTTTCTTCTTAGATGACTATTAAATAACAGTTGTTTATAGAAAACAAAGGAGCACTCCAGATTTTTATTTTAGCTGTAATCTGGGAACAAAACAGCATTTTGTCACTGTACAGGATAAAAAAAAGACAGAAATTTATGTTCTTTGATAGCTTTCCAGGCAGAGGTGCTTTTTAATTTTGTTTTTTTTTTGGGGGGGAGAGGGAGCTTTTAAAGAAACAAACTGGACTGTCTGTGCAGATCCAGTGTTGGGTGCAGCCCTTCATATTAAAGGGAGTGGGATCTGAGACTGCTAGTGAGTTATGGCAACTCTGTGATATGTCATCATTACCACTTAATGAGCCTCATGGTGATTTGAGCTGAGTCCTATACAGAGATAACAACACTACTATATTACAGGTCTGCTGTTAGCGGTCCTTTGTCCACATCAGCCTTCCACCAGCAGTATGGGGTAGTATATATAGAGATTACAGGTGAGAAGGACCTGAGGTTCAACAGAAGTCGTGTTATCTCGGGGGAGCAGGCTCTGAGATGGAAAGTTATATGATATTTCTGCAATTTGTGTGGTTGCCCTATTATAGGTGGCCAAACCAAGGCTCGGTGAGAGCGACTTACAACAACCCTGTAAAGTAGTGCATTGCTGTTGAAACTGAGTTCAAATCCCTACTTTTCCATGGAGCTTGCTGGGTTACCGGACCACAGCGTTCACTCAACCTTACAGGGTGGCCATGATGAGAATAAAATGTGGAATAACCTAACAATGAGATAGTGGAGGTTATAGCTGGGAAGATAAACAATCAGGGATGCCAGCCTCCAGGTGGGACCTGGGGATCCTCTGGAATATACAGCTCATCTCTAGACTAGAGATCAATTCCCCTGAAGAAAATGGATGTTTCGGTGGGTGAACTCTCTGTCACTGTAGCCACTGGGGTTCCTGTCCCCCCCAGGCTCCAGGAGTTTTCCAACCTACATATAGCAACCCTCCCCGCTGGTGGCGGGGGGGGGGGACGTGGTAACCCTACGAAGCAACCTCTTCATACCAGATACCAGATATGGGCTATATTCCCACATTCATATAATCTGAAATAATTAACTCCACCTGAGCAGATGCTAGTTTAAGCGGTTTGCTCCTGGCCTTCACAAGAGTTTACCGGTAGATAGACGGAGATTTACAGAGAGTGGATTACAATCTAGGGTTGCCAGGTTTGTGTTGGGAAATATATGGAGATTTTGGGGGTAGAGCCTGGGGAAAGCAGGGTGAGGGGAGAGACTTCAAGGGATTATAATGCCATACAGTCCACCCTCCAAAGTGGCTGTTTTTCCAGGTCAACTGAACTGTCGCCTGAAGACCAGCTGTAACAGCAGGAAACCCCCAGCCACCACCGGGAGATTGGCAACTCTGCCCAGGTGGCTAGTGCATACATCTTTCCCCCCGCAAGTCATGTATTGACGCCAGAAGTCTGCAAGTTGCACGCTCAACACAAAGGGGATGCGCTTCCGTATAGAATCGGATTGCTTATCACTTTACTATTTCGCTCAGCCTATCCCTTTTTCATTAAGCGAAAAATTTTCTACCAACACCGAAAGAGAAAACTTCCTCAGCCTCCATATGCAAAAGCTGCCATCCAAACGCAACTTTGACTGAGCCTCCCCTGAGTTACATCCAAGCAAATCCTACCCACGAGGACTGGGTTTTGCAACGCTCCAGCACAATCCTAAACAGAGTTACACCCTTCGGAATCCATTTCAGTCAATAGCCTTACAGAAGGGTGTAGCCATGCTCAGCGCTAGACGGCTGGTGGCGTGCCTCCGGAAAACGAAAAGCGAAACCCAGCCGTTTCCCAAGGAACGCCCCAGGCACAAAGTCCCTTCTCTGTCGAGAAGTGGCTGGAAACAAAGCCAGCCCGCGCCAGCAATACTACAAGTGCAGGTCAGCTCACTGCCTTCCCTTCCGCAATCATCCCAACGCCTCCCCCCTCCTCCTTGTAGCGAGCGCCGAGAGAGAGCCTGCGCTCGCGATTGGTGGGCGCGCGAGGCGGGGCACGTGATCAGAACCAGGGCAGCCGGCGGAGGGTTGCGCAGTAAAGGGGGTGTGGGGGAGGTGGTGTCGGCGGGAGCCGTTGCACGTGCTCTTGGCGGGCTGTTGAGGCGGAGCTGAGGCGGGAGAAGGAGCTTCGTGGCGCTGCTTCCTCGCGCGCCAGGTGTCCGTTTATGGGAGGGGGCGGGGGGAGGAGGTCGCGTTCCACCGCCTGTGCGGGAGAGCCGTTTTGTTGAGGGCGAATTGGGCGCCTCGCGGGTAGCGACGGTTGGTGGCCCTCGTGTGGCTGAGGTGGGCGGGGGAGGCTTGGGACGGGAGGCCGGCTTGAAGGGAGGCCGGCGGCTCTCTCCCTCGCCTGGCTTCTAAAAACGCTTCTTGTGTCTTCCCCAGCCCCTAGGTACGGCTGCACGAGGGCCGCGATGGGTGACGAGGAGGATTGGGATAATGAAATCACGGATAACGTCGGTGGCGACAGAGGAGCCTTGCCCGCTTTCCAGCCCAACTTCCAGACTCTGGTGGGTCATGAGGAAAGTGGGGGGGTGACCGAGGGAGGAGTGGATGGACAAAGGGCCGCTTCCCCGTCTGCAGAATGGAGGCCCCGGAGAGCCATTCTTTGGTATTCCGACCGTGAGATCTCGTACAGAAGCGAGCGGGAAGGAAATGGGTAGTCCCGTCGAAGTTTACTCGGGAGTAGGTCCGGGTGTTTCCCGTGGAAGTGTGCCTCTAGGATCGCAATCGCTAAAGTTAAAGGTCTTTAGGAAGCAGAATATCTATTTAGGTTTTTTTTAGTTTAAAGTACTGTATAAATGTGGTGTATTCCCAGATTACTGGGAGCTAAGGCTGAGTGACAGTAATGTTTGTTACAGTTCTTGAAATTTCTGAAAAGGATTCCTCTTTTTGTACTAGGTTAATGCTGTTAGGGTCTTATTGTGTGCAACTAAGACTTCTAATTTTGACTACCCTAATAGGGACTGAACTATCTCTGTAAAGGACTCCTAGTTAGAGTTGCTGAGATGCCAGGATAAAAGTGTCCTGTCCATTTTATACAGGCTTAACATATAGAAATTGGCAGGTGAAACTTTTTACAGCATGGAAGAAAGTAACATAACTTTTTGATTAACATCCCATGAAACATCTGTTAAAAGGACTTTATTTTGTCCTTCAGAAGCTGGCCAACCCTATGGCATAATCCAACATGGCATTGGGTGGCACAGTCCAGGTAGTTCTAGGAAAAAGCAGCAGCTGGTAGCTACAGTGCTAAGACTACATAGTCTTCCTTCTTTGGCACTGTAGTCTTTCTGTATTTACTTGGGAGTAAGCCCTGTTGAAATGCAGTGGGGTATGTTTTCTGAGTAGGCATACATGCCTCCGGATATCTTTTGAACATGTCTCTGATGTTTGCTATTACACAATAAGAAGTGATGGAAAAAATTGCAGTATCACAGTTCATGGTGGGGGAGATGATTTTGCATGAGGCACTTGCCTCATGGGAGCTAGGTAAAGGTAAAGGTTCCCTTGCTCGAAAGCCAGTCGAGTCCGACTCTAGGGCTGTGGTGCTCATCTCCGTTTCAAAGCCGAAGAGCCAGCGCTGTCCGAAGATGTTTCCGTGGTCATGTGGCCGGCATGACTAAACACCAAGGCGCACGGAACGCACCTTCCCACCGTAGTGGTACCTATTTATCTACTTGCAATTTCTTGCTTTCGAACTGCTAGGTTGGCAGGAGCTGGAACTAGAGACGGGAGCTCACTTCGTCATGCGGCACACTCGGGTCTTGAACTGCTGAACTACCGACCTTCCAGAGCCTGCAGTTCAGTGTCTTAACCACTTGAGCCACCGCAGCTCCCCAATGGGAGCTAGGAGCGTGTAATTTTGGGTGTTGGGTGATAAGGCTGGTCTAATTTGTGCATCTCTTCGCAGCTAAGGTATATTTACTGAAACTTAAACTCTTGTTCAGTATAGAGTACTAACTTGACTTGTATTTCCATTTTTGTTTCCATGCTTGTTGTAGGGCAACTTACCTGCAAGAGCGAATGAAACCTCAGGTGTCTTCAGTCAAAGTGGAAAGCGGGGAGGTATGTATAAAATAATTCTGTGAATGCTTTTTTGGAAATTATATTGATCTTATGAGGTATGTTATGGGAAGAGTTCCAGTTCTGTAACACTATGGTTGTGCTTAAAATATCACCCTTTTGCAGGTTAGCAACACTTTAAAAGTCTGCTACCCAGTAATCAAAAGATTAATGGTTAATTGAGTATTGTAGCCCTTGAATGAATGTTACTGTGAGGTTGGCGTTGTGTGTTCTGTGTTTTGTTTAATAGCAACTCCTGATTTTGTGCAGAGTTACTGGGAACTGGAGGAAATAAAGGAAGGGGATCTGGGCAGCACCCAAGCAAATATAGTCCAGCTGTACATCTCTGGAAACTAATATACCCTGGTATAGTCTTTAACAGAGCAGCAGGTGCTTTTGCAGGCATCATTTAGGACTGCTATAAGTATTCAGTAACTTTTAGCTGACAGCAGGAGAAATATTTGCAAAACACTACAAGGTGAAAATTGACTTGAAGTATGAGAGGTACACTGGTATTCTAGTTTGTAAAATTATTATTATTTTATTTTTTTAGTTTTACAGATCTCGTTTTTTTTTTAAAGCTTCTTGTGTTTGTCGTTTGAACAGGAATGGAGAATCAGTAGCCCTCTGAGAAGCTGGATCTTGGTTTATTTATAACATTTTTATACTAACTTTCCACCCAGGGTCCACAAGGCACCAAACATGAAAACATTTAAACAATTAAAAATTCTGTTAAAATTATTAAATTAAAAACACAAACACACAGCAGTAGAAGGAGGGGACAGTACCATCATTTGGGGGTATGCCAGATGAAACAAAAAGGTCTTCATCTGCTGGCGAAAGACATCAATATAGGGAGACAGACAAATGTTCTTGGGAAAGGTGTTCCAAAGTTTTGGCATTACGATGGAGAAGGCCCTTTCTTGGACTGCCACCCATCTGGCCTCAGATAGCAAGGGCAACCAAAGCAGAGCCTCCATGGATGACCAGAGTATATGGGTATGTTCATTTGGGAGAAGCCGATCCTTAAATTATGTTGCTCCAAGGCAGTACAGGGCTTTAAAGGTCAGTACCAACACCTTGAATTGAGTCTAGAAACAAATTGGAAGCTAGTGTAGGTAGAACAAGGCTGGAGTGATACTGTCCCTACGACTCGCTCTAGTCAGCTCTCTGGTCATTGTGATACTCCTTAGTGACAGCTCTGAATGAACAGTGCCACAGAAGGGCAAAAGTTTTGGAGCCAGTTGTGCTGTAGGCTTCTCAGTCAGCCCTAGGAAGGTCTAAGGGAGTTCTTTTCCTTCTGGATAAAAGAAGGAAATTGGCCCCATAGTAGCCTGCTGTACTGTCTGGGTGGATTCCCCCTTATTTTCTGTTGAAGTTGGGGGGGATAGACTTTTCTAGGGCCAGTCCTCCACCCTCCTACCTTTTCATCACTGTCAGGGCTTTTAACTGTTTCTGATAATACATTCCTATGGGTGTGTATGGTATGTGCACAGCCTTTGTCAAGAGCGCTTTTGTACAGGCTTTTTTTGCCCCCTGTTTATTGCCTTACTAGGTGACACGGAGGTACTAAGTTTGGTGTTGAAGGTTATGATGTTAAAAGGTTTTTGTTAAACTTATTTCTTGCTTGATCTAGAGCATATATACACCCATCTTGTACTCTTACTTTTATGGCTACTAGTTTCAATAACGCATAAAAATGCAAGAAAATTAGCTGGCTATACCTCTTCCCTGAAAGAAGCAGAAGTTGAGATTTTAAATAGGAAAATGTTGTCTTAAGTTACAACAATCAGTAAAGCTAACCTACTGAACACAGAAGACTCCAGTTGCAGACAGGAAATTTGCTTTTCAGAATTATGACTTTTGTGCTTTTCATATTTATGACTTTTCTAGAATAGTAGTGTAACATATTGCCCTCTCACCTTGATAGCCCAGGCTAGCCTGATCCTGTTGGAGCTTGGTACCCAAATCATAGATGGGCCTTTTCCAGAGCCAGATTTGACACTTTTCCATCTGCAGTTCTTTCCGGAAGATTTCAACGTATCCCCAGACATTTGAGATTTTGCTCATGCCCTTCCGAGTCAATAGAGACCCTCCCCCATATATTATTTCATTGCTCCCACTATGTAGAAGAAAGAGCCCTTTTGATTATGCCTTTATTAAGGTCATTTAGGTGTCAAGGACAATTAGTAATTCAGTCCGAGGAACTTTTGCTGAAACACCTACTGGAGGATAAATCCACGGCTATTTCAAGGAATGTTGCTAAATTTCTTTTTATTGCAATTATAAAGCGCAAGCACCTCCTTAATACTCCTTGAGAAGTTCTTTCTCTGTAATGCCTTATGACAATCTGGAGACTGTTTTTGACTCTGTATGCTGTTTGATGGGTCTTTGACCGTAATAAACTGATTGATTGATTGATTGATTGATTGTTGGAGCTCGGAAGCTAAGCAAGATTGGCTCTCATTAGTATTTGGATGAAAGACCAGCAAGGAATACTGGGGTTCTACACAGAGGCAGGCTATTGCAAACCACCTCTGAATGCCTTGAAACCCCTGCAGGGTTGTCATAAGTCAGGCAGATCTTGATGGCAAAAAAGTATAACACCTTGGTAAACTATTTGTCTATTCTTTGATGGAATCCTAAGAAATTTGTAAACATTTTGATGCAGGGATGATAAAACAATAGCTTTTAGGCAAACAAACCGAGGGTTGATCTGAGAAGGAGTTCCTGAGATTCTTGGCCTCATGAACCCCCATCTTCCCATGAATGCAGTTCGTGGTGTGTACCCTTCAGTCAACAAGATATACTTAAGGAGGTTTGGGCATCTGAGTGCAACCAATGGTATCTTTTTGGACCAGGCTGAAATGACTAAGTAGGGTGTGGACATCATGATACTTTATGCTGGCTATTAAGCAAGAAAAAGGGGATGGGAGAGAGCTGAGTGGGCATGATCGCAACAATGTTAAGACTAAATAGAAAATAAAAATTTTTGCTTACAAATGTTAAGACTAAATGGGAGGAGAGATTTGAAGTTGTAATTAGGTTTGATTGTGCTGAGTTCTTCTGACACTTACTGTCCAGAAATACTGAGTATGGGTTGCTCCCTGGAAATGTTGCAGTATACTTTTTCTGAATTGTTGAAAATGATTTGTGTGTACTATAAATCTTCAATTCCTACACAAGAGATACTTTGGTACATAAACATTTAAGTATTCTGTATAATTAACTTTACTTACAGGGGACAAAGAACAAATAATATATACAAAAGCGTTAGTGACAAGTGTTGGGCCATTTTTTGTATATGTGCTTGCATTCTGTGTCTATAATTTATTTAGTAGTGAGTTTTATAACCTGCAAAATCGTGGCAAAAGAGGTTCAATTTATAAGTAAGTGTAAACAGAATTCTGTCATATCCCGAAAAGTATATCATAGAACTAGCAGAGGGGCAGACAAGGGCAACAAAAATAATTGCCTTCTCCATGAGGAAAGGTAAAAGAGCTTAGAGATTTGTAGTATATAAAGGTAGGAGAGAGGCACATGATAGGTGTATATAAAATTCCGCATATTACAAAGAAGATGGATAGAGAGAACTTGTTTTCTCCATCCCAGAAAATCAGAATACAGGTTTACCCAAAGAAGCTGATTGGAAGTAAGATCTGGACAGAACAAAGAAGCACTTCTGCACACAATAAATTATTACATAATTAGTTGGCACAAGATGTAGTTTCCACTAGTTTAAATAGCTTTTCAAATAAGCATAATTTTTTGTACATTCAATCCCTAGTTCATGGATTGTTGGGGGAGAACTGGTGCTGGTCAGACTAAATACTGAGCTCCATAGACTGATTCTGTGTAAATGCACTTGTTATGCTCCCATGAAGTAGAGAGATATTTAGTTTGATCTGGTAGGGCTTCTCTTATATTTTGAAGTATCACTTTGCATTTATAAGGGTTTTTTTTGGTTGACTTCCAGCTCATAAATGTTCTTTAGCAATATGTGGATTACCAGTACCTACTTTAGAAATATGAACAACTTCAAAATGCTGAATATTCTAAATTTTTAGGGAGGTTTTTCTCTGAAAATGGAGCTTCTTGGAGTCATAAATTTGGAGGTACATATCTGTGTGTTCTTACTTGAGTTTCAGGAATGTAGTTCTGAATACAGTTATCTTATTTAGGCTTATAAAACCTTTTTTTTCTTATGCAGTGCATGCAGTCACTTAGTACACTTGTAATTTTTCAGTTGGTCTAGTGGTGTTCCTATAGACCAGGGGTTCCCAGCCTCTTTGAGCCTGTGGGACAGGGTGGTGGGCACAATCAGAAAATGGCTGCCACAGGAGGTGGAGCCAGCCACATAATGTTACGGAGTGAAGTTATGTAGAAGTCTAATAGTAACTCCTTGACATATCAGGCAGAAGCTCTGTTGAGCAGTCATTCAGAAGTCCTGCAAATGCTGCACCCACTTTTTAAAAGCATTTGGCAGGCACTAGGAAAGATGTTGGTGGGACCATGGCGCACATGGGCACCATGTTGGGAACCCCTGACAGGCTGTTGGAAAGCATGTTCACTGCATGTATGGTGTTCTGGGAAGTGGTTATGAATTGGAGCTCAAGATCTGTTAAACTACTTAAGAATGCAGGTACTGCTTTGAAAATGAACATTCTGGATTTTTTAAAGTAGCATTTACATCCATGCCTATGACTATAGATACTGCAAGTGGAGATCCACAAGAAACTTGCAGGGAGGGGACTTCCTGTTTATGGCGACACGCTGGCAGACGCATCTCCCGGACCTCCCGGGGATGTGATCTGCGCACCAGCGGAAAGGGGGGGGGTCGCTCCCCCCCCGAGCCTTGGCAAAAGGCTCCTAGCCATGGGGCTTTTGAGAGGTGACCTCTTCACCGGGACGATGCTGGAGAATTGAGGCGCTCCTCCACCCTGACGGTCCTGCAGCTGAGTGTCCGTATGGATCTAGAGCCGCTGACCAGGACAAGTGTCGGAGATCGAGTGTTTTGAACGTGTGCCGAGCGAGGTCGTATGTCCAACAATGAACAGTGAGTCGGGTTAAAGCGAAATACGAGAATTTAAAAAGAAAGCTACCCCCTGGGAACGGTGAAAAAAGCAAGTGGTGGAGGGGCCCCTCCCATGAGCATGAATTAAACAACGAAGTACTAAGGGGGGAGCAGAAGAAAGAGCGTTGAAATCTGTTTTGAGAGACTTACCAGATGGTGGGGAAGAGGGCAGAGAAGGACAAACCAGCGAAAGTGAAACCAGCCGGGATCTTGAGCCCTCGACCGGAAGAGGTCACTGAGTTCTCCAAAATGTTGGCAGATTCCTTGCGCCCTCTGCTGGACCAGATGACTAACATCAAACAACAGCTGACGACTCTAAACCAGAATCTTGCAACTCAGCAGTTCCAACTCACTGAGACTTTAAAAATAACGGAGGAAACAGCTGAGAAGGTGAAGGAAATGGACGCCAACACAAAAAAAGTCAAGAAAAAGGTGCAAAAGCTGGAAAAGTAACAAGCTTCGGAAGAATCACAACTTTTACAGCTGCAGATGGAGAAAGCAAATTTGGTCCTACGGTTTTAAGGGGTCCCAGAATTAAAAGGTGAGAATCTAAAGCAACTCCTGAGTGAAGCATTAGCCCCAGTTACAGATTTAAAAGTGGAGTATCTTGCAAGCGAAATGGATGTGGTCTATAGGTCCTATTCCATGTACATCAAAAAGAATAATCTGCCTGGGGAAATAGTGGCCAGATTCTCAAAGCGACATGTGAGGGATTCTATCCTAAAAGCAACTACGGGAACACCCTTGAAAATCGGAGACAATACCATCAGGATTCTAAAAGATATTCCATTTGAAATAAGACAAAAGAGAAAGAAATATAAAGACTTAATCCTTTTTCTACAAACAGCATTGTCTATAGATGGTTAATTCCAAAAGCCGTCATTTTCAAACTACACAATAAAAAAGAACAGATTGACTCTGTCTCCAAAGCACATGAGTTCCTGAGAGTGCAGCTGGGAGAGTCAGCCGAGGTCGAGAAGGAAGAAGATGAAAGCAAATCAGTGGCGAATTGGACTCTGTGTCTTCCGACGAGGACTCTCTTTCCGATAAGGGGGCGGCTGCCCCCAAGCGTACATATAAATTGAGGATTAGAAAAGATAAGACAAAATGAAGGCTGAAGGACTCTGAATTGTGCCTTAAAACGTTAGTTTTATTATAGGATGCTCTGGGGGTTCTCTTAAACAGTTAAAACATTGGATAAAAAGATAAAAAAATTTGCATAACCGACTATGTTCAAAGTAATACTAGCAATTTAAGATTAACATTTATATAAGCTATTGTTATGATCTCGTATACTTGGGGTTTTAGTAGTGGTTTTCTTTCCTTTCTCCATAGATGTAGTTACCCCTTCCCAATTTTTCATTGTAGTTTGTAGTTTATTAAAAAATGCAATAAAAAATTCCCTCCGGGGGGCATAAAAAAAAAAGAAACTTGCTGGAAGGAGGTATTCCCCTCACCTTTGTTTCCTCCCATCTCCCCCTACTTGTATGTGCCTTTCTCCATCCTGCCACCCCTTCTCTTACTCTCTCCCCCATGCCTGTCGCTCTCTCTGCCTCCTACTCTATCACACTCACTTTTCTGCCCCAGCCCAATCTGTCTACCCCATCACTCTGTCTCTGTCTCTTTACCACATCAGTGTATTTCTTTCTGCCCCCCCCCACGCCACCACTCTCTTCCTCTCGCTTCCTGCCTCCCCACCCCAGCGCTCTCTCTTCCCTGACCTGGATAGTTCAGGCTAGCCTGATCTCATTAGATCTTGGAAGCTAAGGAGGGTCACCCCTGGCTGGTATTTGGATGGGCGACCTCCAAGGAATACCAGGTGTGTGACACAGAGGCAGGCAATGGTAAACCACCTCTGAAAAGTCTCATGCCTAAGAAACAAGTCTAGCTTGCCACCTAGTGGTGCACAGCGCTAACAGAGCTAGAACTTATGGCGGCCAGACAATCTTAGATCTCCTGGCTATAGTACACATACAGCCATATGGTAATTCTCTTTCTCTGTGCTTGCCCCCCTCCAAGGTTTTCCTCCCCCTTTCTTCAACAGCTTGCTTGGAGTTGATTGGGTAGACCCGCCCACCGGAGTGCTCTTGGTAGCTGACCTTCCATCACTGGTTCACCTGGAGCAGCTCCAGTCAGGCCCACTGAGCTTCCCATCTCCAGCCGTTCTTGGCAGCTTGTCTGGAGTTGCTACGGGTGGGCTTGCCGAGTTTCCCTACCCCACCTGCCGCTCTCAGGCTCACCCAGTGATGCTACAGGTAGGCCAAATGAGCTTCTCTCACTTCACTTGACTGTTCACCTAAAGCAGCTCTGGGTGGGCCTGCCAAGTTTATCCCTCATCCTGGCTCTTGGCCACTTGCCTGGAAACCCACCCACCCCTGACGTTCAGTGGCTCTCCTGGTACGGCTCCAGGTGGCTGGGTCTGGTGGCGGCTTCCAGACTCCTCTGCAGCAGCCTCTGCCAGTGGAACTTTTCAAAGGTAAGTGCATTGTTTGCGTGTGTGCAGACAATGCTTTTTATTTTTGAAGGGAATTTAAACCTCCCAATATATTTTTAAGTTTTGTGATTTTCCTGCAAACCTAGTTTGCAGAAAACCTGTTTGGAGTAAGTGTTCCCCACATCCATGGATTTATATATCTGCAGATAGGGGCACACTTGGGAATTAGAAATATAAATTCTCCAGTCTGTTTTTTTGTGTGTTGTGCGAGAGTGGAGTGTAGACTCATTGGGCCATAATTATGATCTGTCACTTCAGACAGTACATCAACTATGTCCATTCTGGTTTAGTGCCGGATCATCATGATTTGGGATGTGATGTCTCTATACTGAATGTTAATACTGAAAATAACTGGGTCTCTAGAGAAGATTAAAACAGAACTCCATTGGTACTTCAAAGGCTAAAAACATTTGTCCAGCCATAATCGTTTGTGAATCAGAGCTCACATCATCTTTAAAAAGCAGTCATGTATAGTTAAACTTATATACGATAGATCAAGGTGAGTAGCTGTGTTGGTCTGAAGCAATAGAACAAAGTTGGAGTTCAATGGCACCTTTAAGACCAACAAAGTTTTATTCAGGGTGTGAGCTTTTGTGTGCATACACACTTTGTCATATGATGAAATGGAATTACATATCATAGTTGTATATATAGGAGTGGTTTGTTAAATTAGCATGCAAAATAGTGAGGACACTTTTTTAACAGATCAAAAGAATGACAAGTTCAGTTCCTAGTTATCATCTGTTTTGGTTCAACGGGGGACGGGGGGACGGGACGACAACATAGGTTAGAATGTTAGAAGTGGAGATTGATGTGCCCTAATTTGTGAGAATCCCATCCTTAGACCCCATCCATCTCTTTTCAAGCATGGAGGTGAATTTTACAGCATCTTGGCTGTGTAGAGTGTTTTCCTTGTCCCCAAAACAAAGAACTGCATTTAAATCTACCATTCCAAATTACATTACATATTCAATTAATATTCTTAATTGCTAAGAGTAGTAATAACATTTTGCTTCAATAAAACATGGAGTTAACTGACAGAATCCTTTTCCTGGGGTACAGTGTTATGTCAGAGATCAACAAGCTATTGCATTGCATTACAATCACTATTATAATATACACGACTGTCTTTTTACAATCACTAGGTGTTGGTGGAAAACAGAATGGAGAAGAAAAACCAACTGGTGGATTTGGAAGCAGAGGCAGTTTTGGAAACCGAGGTAGACTTCCGGATAGCTTATATTGCGTTACTGAGTTACAGTATCAGCCAAGAGGGTTGTTGCTGGCCCTAAAAATAAATCAAAAAGGTTGAGGAACAGGTAAAATCTATTATAAGAGGATATATAGTCATACTAAAAGAGTTCTATGTTGATAAATACACAAGATAGATGTTGAAAACATAAAATATAAAGTCAAAAGTAAGAAAATATATACATAAAAATCACGTGGACCAAATATGTTTCATTCATTGGTCTCTACATATGGTATTCATAAAGGTATATATAATAAAATTGTAAGTGTATGAACACAGCATATCGTTGGACTAAGGCCTTTCAGGAATTTTTTTGTTAAATACATATTTATTGAAAAATAAAAATAAATACATAATACACATTACAAAGGAATTCTTCCAGAATTCTTTTCAGACCTTATTTTGGAAACCTGTGTGTATATAAAATAGAAAATTTGAGCATTACTTTTATCTTCTGACATATTTTAATTTAGAAGGATAATTTTGATAAGTTTTAGATTTTTTTTAACCAACCATGGTATACTATTTCAGCTGCATAATACATTTTCAAGGTCGCTAAAATTGTATCTACTGATGGAGTATGTTGGCAAAAAGATAGCTGCTAGCTTCTATGAGATGAATACAGTAGAATATTGCTGCAGTTCTATACATCATAAAAGTTGGTTACTAAATAAGAAATTCAGGTAACTTACCATTTAAAACAAAGCAGTGGTATTAATGGTAGAGGAATGGCCCTGGTACTTATAGACCAAAGACCTCAGGCTCTAATATGCTCAGTTAACATCAGTGATAAAGAATTCCTGAAGTCTTGAGCTACTGACTCCTTGCCTTAAAGATACATAGTCCTAAAGCAGAGAGAGGGAGCAGTGTAGATGCTAAATAGAAACATGGAACAAGCTAAATGCTTAATAATGATGAACAGTCATATTGTATCCAGAGCATATCCTATGTAACAATCAACATGTTCATACAGGCTCAGCCTTAGAATCATAGAGTTGGAAGGCACCTCCAGGATAATCTAGTCCAACCCCCTGCACACCCACAGTGACCGCTGTTCCATGCCCAGAAGATGACAAAAAATCTCCAGGATCCCTGGCCAAACCAGCCTGGAGAAAAAATTGCTTCCTTACCCTAAAGTTACAATTAGCATTTCCCTGGATGTGTAAGAAAGGGCCATAAGAACTAAGCACTGATGCAACCCTCCTGCCCTCCCTCCTATGATCTGCCTAAGTTCAGAGAATCTGCATTGTTGTCAGATGGCCATCTAGCCTCTGTTCGAAAACCTCCAAACGAGAGCCCACCACCTCCTGAGGAAGCCTGTTTCACTGAGGAACTTTAACCGTCAGGAAGTTCTTCCTAATGTTTAGCGGGAAATTCTTTTGATTTAATTTCAACCCGTTGGTTCTGGTCTGACCTTCTGGTTTGATTTATCCTTCAGTGTGTTGGTCGTAGGCTCACTGACACCTTTTTTGGCTCAGCTAGCCCCTAATCCTTTTCTTCATATTAATTGTGGTGAACCATTTTAACCATATAGCTTAAATTGATTAAATAACCTCAGATGTTCTAGTGAAGCTAAAAAGATACAAGTTTTGGGAACTGATGGATTTTGCAAACTTCATAGTTCAGAATACATTAACAAAAAATGCATAAGACGCTACTTTCCGAACAGAAATACTGTTTACTGGCCTTAATAGCCAGCTGGGCTCTGAGAAGGGGCAGGTGAGGAGCTGCTGCTGGAGTGGTGAGTGTTTTGTTATTTGCATTTCCTTAACTACTGAGGAAACGTAGCTGAGATTACTGTGTGGGAGGATAGTGTTTGAGGGTGTGTGGGTGTATATATAGCCTGTTGGAGAGTGGTGGCTGTTTGAGGAAGTGTGGTTTCTGTTTCTCTCTTTTGCCTTGGTGAAACTGATTGCAGCTTTTAGCAGTTTTACCTGGGACTGACTGCTGGCTCTGCCCTCTGCTGGGTGAGCCTTTAATTATATAAGGCTCCTTGCCAGAGGTGCAAGCCTTTGGTGTGAGCTGAAGGGCAAGAGCTAAAGGGCTCTTAGCCTGGGGATTGGGCTTGGGGACCCCATAAGTAGTTAAGAAAATTGTATATTGTTTTGTTGGTTTCCCCTTTTGGCTCAGGTAGCCATTTGGTCAGTTCTCTAAGTTTCAGGGTACATCAGCAAACCAAGGTATTTCTAGATGAAAGAATCCACTTGGGAAAGAGGTGATGAATGCTCACAGACCATTTCCAGTCACCTGTAGGAAGTGTGCCAGTTGATAGGACTTTTAGAGAAGGCTCGAAGCCTGGAGGAAAGGATTACTACTCTCTGTGAGATCAAGGAAGGGGAGGAGTTCATTAGCAGAAGCCTTGATGTCCTGCATAGGGAAGGAGAGACCAGTCGAATCGACAAGTGTGGTTGACTTGCCCTAACAAGACTCCTCAGAGCGCTACAGCAAGACCCTAAAGGTGTTGAGTGAGACAGCACTCCATGCCATTAGAACTGAGGAATCGATTACAGGCTCTTGCGGTGGAGGCAGAGATGGAAACACTGCCAGTGGAAGTATCAGAAACACAAGGGGGAGAGAGGGAGAATGACAGGGATATACAAAGAAATGGCACTGGAAGGAAAAGGAAGGTGTTGGTCATAAGTGACTCCCTGATGAGGGGTATGTGTCCAGGCCTGACCCCCTGGTCCGAGAGGTGTGTTGCTTGCCACGGGCGAAAATTAAAGATATTACAGAGAAGATCCTTAAGCTCATCAAACCTACAGAGCATCAGCTGTTTGTGATGATCCATGTGGGAACGAACGACACAGCCGGGAATAGCATCAAAAACATTAAGGCTGACTATGAAGCTCTTGGGAAGAAGCTGAAGGGAATGTGAGCACAGGTGGCGTTCTCTTTGATCCTTCCTGTCAAAGGGGAATACGATGGGAACAGACAGTAGTGGAGGTGAACCACTGACTGTGTTGGTGGTGCCGGCAGGAGCAATTTGGACTCTGGGACCACAGGCTAGGTTTTCTGGACAACAACCTACTAGCACGTGATGGATTTCACCTGTTAAGGCCAGGAAAGATTATGTTTGGCAGAATCCTGGAGAGATTCATCAAGAGGGCTTTAAATTGACACCACAAGGAGAAGAAGATGACCAACATAGGGATTTCAAGGGAAGCAAACAACAGAGGCCCACCTGGGAGGGCCGGGTCTAGTGGAACCAAAGGTGTGGTACTTAAGGTGTTTATGTACCAATGCTCAAAGCTTGGGTAATAAGGAAGAGCTTGAGCATCTAAAGCAGAGCTTCTAAATGCATACAGAGGGATATGATTTAGTAGGCATTACAGAGACTTGGTGGGAAGATTCACATGACTGGAATGTAGCAGTGGATGGATACGAGTTTTTCAAGAACAACCGAAAGGGTCGAAGAGGAGGCAGAGTGGAACTGTATGTGAAGAGAGGGTTTGTTTGTCAGGAAATACTGCAGGAGGAGGGCGACAGCTCAGTGGGAAATATCTGGGTGAGGATAAGGGAAGGAAGGACAAACAGTATTATGGCTGGAGTCTACAGACAACGAAGTTACCAAGATGAAGAGGTGGATGCTGTCCTCAGTGAACAGCTTGACAGGGTATCCAAATAACATGACCTGGTAGTTATGGTTGACTTCAGCTTCCCTGATGTGTGCTTGGAGACAGACTCTGCAAAGTGTTCACAGTCACGCAACTTCCTGACCTGTCTGGATGGCAACTTCCTCCATCAAATGGTGGAGGAAGCTACAAGGGGCTCAGCCGTACTTGACTTAATATTGACCAACAAGCAAGAGATGGCAGATGGGGTGAATGTGGTGGGGACTTTAGGGGGAAGTGACCATGTCCTGCTAGAATTCCCTTTGCTGTGGGGGACCAACAAAGTTCATAACCACACTTGTAAGGCAGACTTTAATAAACTCAGCAGTATGATGAGAATCATTCCATGGGCAAGACTGCTGGAAGGGAAAGGAGCAAGTGAAGGGTGGCCTCTCCTAAAATAAGAGCTCTTGCAAGCTCAAGCTGTCAGTATTACAACAAGAAGGAAACATGGTAGGGGATCCAAGAAGCCAATGTGGATGAACAGAGAACTGTGTGATGTGCTAAGGGAGAAAAAGGGAAGGTTCAAGTAGTGGAGGCAAGGACATACCTCTGAGGAAGAGTATCTGTGGATTACTAGGCACTGTAGGCCAGCCATCAGAGAAGCCAAAGCTCACTGTGAGCTAAAGCTGGCCAGGGAGGCCTGCTACAACAAGAAACTCTTTTTCAGATATGTGAGGAACAAACACAAGATAAAAGCGGTGATGGGCCCACTGTTGGGTGAAAATGGAGAAACTCTGACAGAGGACTGAGAGAAGGCAGAAAGGCTCAGTGCCTATTTTGCCTCAGTTTTTCCCCTGAAGAAGAGAACAGACTCATCTAGAGATGGTTGTAGGCTTGCAGAGCCTTGTCCATCATCTTCCAGACCTCTTGGAGGACAGCAAATATGCCACAAGACTGGAGGAGGGCAGATGTTATTCCAATTTTCAAAGAAGGGAGGAGGGATGACTCAGGAAACTACAGGCCAGTCAGTCTGACCTCTGTCCCAGGGAAGATACTGGAGCAAATTTTAAAGGGACCAATCTGCGAGCATCTGAAGAACAACTTGGTGATATGGGGAAGTCAGCATGGATTTGTCCCCAAACAGGTCCGGCCAGTCCAATCTCATTTCCTTCTTTGACAGAGTGACAAGCTTATTGGATCGAGGGAATGCTGTTGATGTTGTTTACCTGGATTTCAGTAAAGCTTTTGACAGGGTTCCTCATGATGTTCTGATGTGCAGACTAAAGGACTGTAGACTGGACTGTAGGATAGTTAGGTGAACAGGGAACTGGTTGGAGAACCGCACTCAGAGAGTAGTTATCAGTGGTATGTCAGTCATCTGAATGGAGGGAGGTGTCCAGTGGGATGCCACAGGGCTCAGTTCTGGGCACAGTACTTTTCAATAATTTTATAAATGATCTGGATGAGGGTGTGGAGGGGTACTCATTACATTTGCAGATGGCACTAAATTGGGAGGAGCAGCTAACGCAATTCCACGAGATATGAGAATGCTGGGAAAATGGGCAGATGTGCACAAGATGCAGTTTAACAAGGATCAATGCCAAGTTCTACATCCGGGTAACAAAAACGAAGAACACGCATACTGGATGGAGGATACACTTCTGGGTAGCAGTGTGTGTGAACAAGATCTTGGGATAAGGGTGGACCAAAATTTAAATATGAGCAGCCACTGTGATGCAGCAACAAAAAAGGCTAATGCAGTCTTGGGGTATATCAACAGAGGCATAATATTCAGATCACAAGATGTGATAGTCCTGCTGTACACTGCATTGGTCAGGCCACACCTGGAGTATTGTGTGCAGTTCTGGAGGTCTTACTTCACAAAGAATGGGGGCAGAATGGAGCGTGTGCAGAGAAGAGCAAGGATGATCGGGGCCTGGAGCAATGCTTCCTCTAAGTTGTGGAATCTTGTGAGCAAAAATTCTACTTTGTGAACTGCTGGCATTAAATTTGTGAGTGAGTGATTTGGCTGCTGCATAAATTAGTTTGCTCTGGAGCCATCTTTTATAAGCTAAGATAAAAATGTGAGCTGGGGGCTAAAAAAACTATGAGCTAGCTTGCACTAACTTGGCTTAGAGGGATCAATGGCCTGGAGACCAAGCCCTATAAGGAAAGGCTGAGGGACTTGGTAGTGTTTTAGTCTGGAGAAGAGGAGGTTGAAGGGGGGGGGTCATGATTGCTCTCTTGAAGTGTTTGAAGGGCTGTCACTTAGAGGAGGGCACGGAGCTGTTCCTGTTGGCAACAGAGGACAGGACTTGAAATAATGGGTTTAAATTAAGGGCAGGAAGGTACCGGCTGGATCTTAGGAAAAACTTTTTAACACTTAAGAGTTGTGCAACAGTGGAATCAGCTGTCTAGGGAGGTGGTGAGCTCCCCCTCACTGGTAGTCTTTAAGCAGCAGCTGGACAAACACTTGTCAGGGGTACTATAGGCTGATCCTGCATTGAGCAGGGGGTTGAACTAGATGTCCTGTATGACTCCTTCCAACTCTGTGATTCTATGATTAGGTATAAATTGCAAGAACTTTTAATGTATTCTAATCTACATGCATGTTTGCTGGAAAAAATAATGTGAGAGTATTCTGTGATCAGGTCAGAGGCACTTTTTGGTTTTCCATATTAAATATACTTCATGCTAGCTGACCACGTGATTCACAGGTGTGTGACTCCAAAGCCATGGGGGAGAGGCAAAAAGTGAATGTAAATGTTTGGTTTTTTAAAAAAGGGTGATTGACACATTTGTGTGCATCTTGTGCCTTCTTACTTGATAGCTTAAACTGATTGGGGAAGGGCCATGACTCACAGGTAGAGCGTTTGCTTTGCATACTGAAGGTCCCAAGTTAAATCCCCAGCATCTCCAGTTGAAAGGACCAGGTGGTGAGTAAAGTAAAAGACCTCTGCTTGAGATTCTGGAGAGCCACTGCCAGTCAGAGTAGATGATACCGACCTTGAAGGACCAGTGGTCTGATTCAATGTAAGGCAGCTTCACGTGTTCAAATGTGTTAGTTTTCTCACTACTCATGGTAATCATTTTATGTCAGATGCACACAGTATGTTAACTTGTCATCAGTTGCCTCTAGTTGACTGTAAAGCTGTTGTTTTTCTGATCTTGTATTAACTTGTATTCTGTAGTAGTGTGACACATGTACTTTTTTATATTGCTTAGCCCCTTTGCTTCACTTTCTAAGCTTCCTGTACCTGTTACTAGGAGGACATACATTTAACAAAGTAGGGCCTAGTTAATGAAAACTCTTTGGCTGTGGGGAAGGGCTGTGGCTCAGTGGTAGAGTAGCTGTTTGGTAGGGAGAAAGGCTGAGGTTCAATACTTGGCATTTCCAGTTAAAAAGAATCTGGCAGTAGGCGATCTGAAAGGCTTCTGCCTGAGACCCTGTAGAACCACTGCCTGTCTGAGTAGAAAGTAATCACTGGTGGGCCAAGGGTCTAATTCTGTATAAGGCAGCTTCATGTGTTCATGCCCTCGAACATCCAATAATTGTCTTCCAGTATTCAATACAATTGGAGTGCCTTCCTCTCTGTTTACTAGGAGGCAGTGTTTTACCAGAAGAATTGGCTAGGAGCCTCTGCTGTGAACTATTGCAGGTCTTCCTGGTTCTCTCTCTCTCGCTTAGTTGGCAGGTCCAGTCTCTGGCTGCAAAATTTCAAAGAAGAAAGAATAAAATATTTATATAGGCTAAGGAAGAAAAGTTACTTTCTATTTGGAGCTGGCTTGGGGCTGGATCTCTTCTTTCCCTACTCCTGTTAATTCTGGAACATTTGAGGGGGTGAGTTCTGGGCAGCCCTGTGGTTGTGCTTTACAACTGACACCAGGTTTGGAATCCTGAGGAAGATTGAGACAGTTAGGGTCATTTTGAGACCCTGTTTGTACCTATGGAAGGCCAAGAGTATTTACATTCTGGATCTGAACCCATTTACAAGGATAGGTGAATAATGCTTGGTGCTGTCTTTGAATGCTCAAGCCCTTTGCTCCCTCTCCAGCCTTGGGGAAATACCATGTTGGATTTTCTCAGTTGTTCTCCCCCCCCCCCCTTGTGCAACCAAGTGGCTTAACACAATAGGATAGTAAATTTTAATTTCAGAGGCTCTTTTCCATAGTGCAATTCACATAATACCTTTTATCAGGACCAGCCAAGTGTGAAATAGCAGTGTATGAGCTTTCAAATTCACCAGAACTGGATGTTACAATGAAATTTTAAAACATGTTTAAGAATAGGAGCAGTTTCTCAGGAAATGACGTAGAGTCCCAGTTAAATCTGCATTGTGTATGTAGATCTGCTTCAAATATTGTTGGTTTCAAGTTACACCCAACTCTTTGGATCAAGAAGAGGCAGTAAGTTAGTTAAACTCTATAGGCCTTAACAAGTTCCATCAATTGTCCTCAATTACTCTCTAGAGTTCTAGTAGTTCTCTTATACAGCCAAGCATTTTCACAAGAGGGCAGTAGAGCATAATTTAAATGACTGCTTTCTCTAGAGGAAAAAAGGTTTGGAGTAATTTGGCACTTCTGTGGCTGTGAGCAGAAGTATAAATAGAAGTTCTGTCAAATCTCAAATGTGCAAAACAAATTGTATTTGTCAAAAGAAGCAGCATTTCAGTCAAAGTCTGCAGTGCTGGGGTGGGGGAATCTTTCTTCTGCTGTTTTCCCAAAGCATCCCCTACTCTAAATTGTAACTTGCCAAATATTTAGTAATTTGCAAATATATGGTAACCACTGTTTTCAATTAAAGGGACAAATAGCATCTTAGATGTAAAGGAGAGTATCAGTAGCACACTTTTCCCATTCAGATAAATGACTGTAGGGCTAGAATAAAGGTTCTGTATTCATGTAGATAGGAGGGGCTTGTTACTTGAAATGTTTGAAGTACAGCTGACCACTCTTTCACATGTGCATTTCCATGCCTCCTTGTCGGGATCTTCAGACTATGCTTGAACTAACAGAAGCGTGTATAGTACTTTGGGGAGGAATTTGGAATAGTGAGGGTTGGAGATAGCACTTAGAGTTCTAATCTTCAGATGAACATAAGAAAATTGACAGAGAAGCAGGAAAATGTAGGTAGATTGAAAGAGCAATGTAAACTCCTAAATTTTAGGTACTACTGAGCTTTGAGTAAATAAATAATCTATACAATCACACAAGCATTTGGGGGAGTAAGCACCAACAAGCAAATCAGATGATTCCTAGTGGAAGTTGTCTCAGTTATGCTAGATGTTCCTCCTCATTCGTGTCCAAACACAGAACCCACTCTTAGCATTTGTCCTGAGCATACAATGTTCCCAGAGAGGAATGGTCTGGGGGAGTGTTGGAGGATAAGTTTTGAGGTCCTTCTCTTTGAGTAGAAGAAGGGAAGGGCTGGGTTTGGGAAGCAAGGTGATGAACACTGGGAGGGAAGAAGTGGATTGAAGAGGCAGAGTAGAAACTTGCATACATAGTTTCATCCTTTAGTCTGATGTGGTTGAATTCGTTCTGGAGCGGGGAGGGTCTGGGTGGAAATGGGGTTCTCCAGTGATTTCAGTAGTGGAGGAGCAGTCTTGGGGGTAGGATTGAACCTAGTTGTCCTTTGCCAGGATGTCATTTTTATCCTATTTTTTTTCCTGGGCAATTTCCTGTTGGGGCCAAAATTTATAAGTGGCATTTTTGGTTTCTTTCTGTCATTAGGCTAAATTTCCAAATTGTACCTGTGATTTGGAAGGATTTTGGAATCCTCACTCTGGGGAAAAGTCAGAATCCTGATGATTAAGGTTTCAGTTTCAAAGTGAATGCTTGTTGGCCCTTTTTTAGAAACAGATGCACACATGTATGTGCATAAGTACTTAAGTTCACTGTAATATGTGGCTTCTGTCTCCTACTTATGATTAAGTTGCCAGTGAAGTTTACATTGTAAGGCCATTGTAAGACCGTTGTGGATGGTCCTAGAATTTTGGGCATTATTGTGCAACTTCTGTTAATTATAGCTTGAATTTTAATGATTCCTCGAGAAAACCAAAGAACAGAGCCTTTGTCAGGGTATGTCCAAGCCCCCAAGGGAATTTGGCTGCTTCCTTCTAAGTCAGCCTTTTGATTGCCTGCAGCCTGATCTTAATTTCTTATGTTTAATACTAAACATGGAGTCTCTCTCTCAGTCTTGGACAATGTAAGACCTGGTGACAGGTTACATATAGGTTTCAGAAGTATTTCCTGACCCAGGGCTGCTTTGTGGGAATGGGTTTAATATGTGGACAACTCATTGTTGGAGAACTCTTAATATACTTGTGCTGTTTACAGGTGCACCAGGAAATAGATTTGAAGAAAGAAAAAGTCCAGGTTTTGGGAGAGGTAAGGATACAAATTCCTCTCAGGGGAAACAGTAACAATTTCACTATATCAACTATGGAGAACAGAAAAATAGCTTAAATTAGTTTCAAGATTTTTCTGGTTCACTTGAGTTACTTCAGCTAGCTCAAGTTGCTGTAACCCTTCATCTGACTTTAAAGGTGCGTTGCATTGGTCATAAGCCTTACATCTGAAACCTTGTACAGTAGGCAAGTGTATTCGATGTAGACAAAGTGTGATATGTCATTGCCTTCAAATTTTTCCATTTATCAGTTACAGAATTTATTAATGCCGTTCTTGCATACTTTGTCAACTTGGACACTGAGTATGAGTAAGCCACATGTCTGTAAATAGGTCTGAATAATCTAGATTACTATCCACACAGGTGGAAAATGGCTTACTTAATGTTTGCACAGTTGTTTGTCTCAATTGTGAACTGAAAGATGCACATAGCCTTCCAGGCTAAGATTCATAGTTCTTAAGAAAATATAGCTAGTGCTAGTATAGAAAAGTAATTGCTCCTTTCCATTTTAATGGCTTTGTTATGGAAGAAGTTGATGATAATGAAGACAGCCAGGCAGAATCAGTATTCTCAAGGAGAGGAGGTAAGACCACAATGATTTGGGCAATTAAGAAGCGAATCCTTTTTTTTTTTTTTTAAATAAAGGGTATCTGGGTAGGAAATACAAGTACTCCATTTTTCAGTTGTTGGAGGAGGGTATCTCTGTATGGGTGAGTCCTTCCTCCGTGTTTTACAGGCAGGTCTGCACCTTAAGGTGTTGCCACTATTACTGTTCATGGTGTACATGCTGTGCTTCTTCTGTTGAAGTAGGACATTTTCAGATCATTGCTATCTTTGTCAGGAATGAATACAAAGGCCAAAGGAAAACAAAGAAATGACCAAAAAGGCTACAGTAAGATTGCCTTCTCTACTGCAGCATGCCTCTCCTGCTGCTGATTTTTAAAAAAGGTGGATCCCAGAGCATGTAAGGAATTGTTTTATGAAGCAGCAGAGGAAGGCAACGAGTACTCCAGGATCTTCATCTTGTCTACCTCAGATTCTACCATTGTCTCCTAAAAATTTCCAGAAATGGGCCTTCACAGGAGATTCCAGGTTTCATAGCATGTAGTACGCAGCATACTCATGGTGGGCAGCATCCTTGTTGAGGATAAGGACCATAAAAGAGGCTCCTGTGCCAGGAGTGAGGAGTACAGAACAGTCAGTCAGGGGTTTCATCCACCCCCCCCCCCCCCTGCCAGTTTTCTTTTGGACCCAGAGACTCTAGAAACAACAAGTATCCGGTTTCATGGAATGTTAGAATTCCAAAACAGCCACCACTGCATTCTCCAGCCTTGCATCCAACCTGTCCCCATCCAAGCCAAGAATAAGTTACACTGGGCATGATGTTTGGCCACCAGTCAGTGACTTCCTCATGAAGTTAGCTCTACAATATATCAGTGGGCCCTACAGACTATCCAAGATATGTCTACAGACTCTCAACTAATTCAGAACACCATGGATAGGATAATTCTTGGAGCTATGGCCCATGTCAGCAGCAGCACAGCAACAGAGCAAATACTATAGCACAACATTTCTTTGGGATCTACTTTATCATGCCCAAGAAAAAATGAGATCAGAGGACAGTCCTGTAGGGTTTCAGCTATCTAGTTAAGATGTCTGTCAGGAAAATCCTAGAGTCTTGTCCCAAGATTCCTTGTCTCCGTTGACCTGACGAAAGCTTACATGTATTTCTCAGTTTGCATTTGTTGTGCATTTATTTATTTATATCCCATTTTTCTCCCCACAGTTGGGAGTTAGAGTGACTTAGAACGTCATTCTCCCCTCCTCCATTTTCTCACAACAACCCTGAGAGTTTGTGACGGGGCCCAAGTCACCCAGTGAGCTTCCATGGTAGAAGTGGGGATTTGAACCTGGATTACTCAGGGTCCTAGTCAGCTGCTCGATCCACTGCACCATATTGGCTCTCTTCAACATGGGCAGTACCTAGAGGTTAAAATTTCTGGAAATTTTGAAGCTACATTAGCATTTCTTTTGTCTTTTCTAGATTGAAAGTCATTCTGTTACTTTAGGAACAAAATATGACTATGGACATTTTTACTTGGCATGAAATTATCACAACTAGCATATTAAAAATATAGTGTATCCAAACAATTATTACAAACAGAATACCCACCCACGTGCAAAAACAAAACAAACCTTTTTATTTTCTTCTGACAGCACCTCCTAAAGGAAGAAATGCATCTTGTTCTTGCAATGGAGAGTTCAGTTTGTAACCTCAGTGCACAGAACTTGCTTGTCCTCAGTGCACAGAAATTAGATCAATCTGATACCTTTGTCTTAAAATATTTTATTCATCATGTTAAAATAAAACGTTCCATAATCAATTTCTTTTCTTTTTTCAATTTTTCCAATTTTCCGGAAAAAAACAAAAAAGGCTTCAAGAAAAAAACAGAAAAAAACCAGCCCCCCCCCCAATTTTTCCGGTTTTTTCCCCGAGCCTTCACATCTCTAGCAGTACCTCAGGTTCTCATAGAACCAGAGTTGCAGCCAGTATAGGGTTTTCCCCTGACCCAGGACAAATGGTCCCAGACCAGGGCACGGCATAAATTGACTGGAACTTGGGGTAATCAAGTTAGCCCTCCATACCTTATGAAATTAAAAAAAAAATCTTTCAATTAATTAATTGCTCAATCCTGCAGAGCTTGCTGGCTCTGAGCGATTTACAGTTACTCCATTACACACGGGCCTAACAATGATTCAAGGGGTAAGGGAGGACAACATATAATCTTTAAATCACGCATGTTCGCAGTCGACGGGGAGTTTTGTTCAGCTGTAAGGTCAGACGTGTTCCAACAGCATTTTCCCCTCGGCGTAGCTTGATGTTGTCAGCTTTCTCCAGACTGCTTCAAGTTGCAGCGCAGCACTGCCACCGCCTGGCTGGATGGCCCATTACAGGCTTCCTTGATGCTGAAGAGTTCTTTCTAGGCTTTTCGGTCTTACGCGCTGGACATTCCATTCGTCGGTTAACACCTCCCCCACCCGGGGGGGGTTTAGTGTGTCCACCCTCTCTAAGGAGTGGTACCCATTTTATCTACTCGCCGAAGCTTTCGAAACCGCTGGGTGGACAGCGAGCTGGGGACAAGGCTGGTAGCTCACAACAGCACGGGGCTAGAACTGACAGCAGCTCTGTTCAGCTCAGATGAATTAACCAGCGGATAAATCCCCTGTGCCACTGCTCCCCTCCCACTGCGGTTATCTTCAAATGTCCTGCTTTGGGTTTCCCCATCTTCTGTGATTAGGTGGCTGGCTAGTGCTCTTCTGCTTAAACTGCCTGCAGAAGCAGAAGAAGGTATGCTTGCCCAAACCAGGTTATGGCCAGGACCCTACTGGGAATGGAGAACCCACTCGCCAATTAATTCCTTCTCTCCTTCACCTGTGGAGCTGAGCTGGATTGAGATATATGTTAAGATAGCATAGGGGATTCTGTCTTTTTGGCTGGTAAGACATTTTCTGCAGATCTCTCTTTCACTGGAAATGAAAGTAGTCTGCAAGATCTTCAGTGCAGCCCTATCTGTGAATTATGGTGGGAGGACTAACCCATAAATAGATACACACCTACAGAGATCAGTCCAACATTTCATTCTCTAGCTCATACCTCTTAAACAGTGGTCAGTGGCACTGAAGTAGCCAAAAGAAGGCAAAGAATTAATCTTTCTTGTTCATGTGGTCCTAGGATTGTAGTCTTCGCCTGCTAGTAGTGTAAAATAGACACTGTCCAGGTGTTGGGCACTTTAGAAAATGCATCGGAATCTCACTGGAGCAGAAGTTGGGTACTGGGTGTGTGTGTGTGGGAGTGGCTGAGGAGCCTCTGCATGGTGGCATCAAATTCTGCATGCCCTCACCCTCTTTGTAGCTTTTGTGGTGTGTGTTAATCACTTTTTTGCATTGTTTGTTTCCAAGGAATGATTAATGGCAGTGATGCACGTAGGGGTGGAAGAGGGTCAACAAGAGGAGGACATGGGCTATTTACAAGTAAGCTCTACTAGTACTTTTAAAGTTTTACAGAGGTTTTCAGTTCTGAATTATTACTAATTTCTCCTGTCAGCTAAGGAATGCTGCTAAGAATAAAAATAACTTAATTATGACTTTCGTTGTTTTTGTTGGGTTTGATTGTGACAGATAATGAATGTGAGATGCAAGATGGAAGACAGCGTTCTGGTTTCTTTGGCTCAAAAAGAGGGAAGTTTGGTGCTCCTTCAGGTAAGAATTCAAATAACGCTTGGTTCATGGATGGAGGGGTTTGTTTTATACAGGAAGATATACACTGTTATATTGGATTGTGTTACTCTCACACTAGTGATCTCATGTTAAATCTTGTGGTCATTTGGATTACAAAATAGACAAGAGTTGTTTGCAGTGGATGCAAGCAAAGCAGTGGCTCACCAGAAAATGTTGTACACAAAGACCTAGCTAGGATAGGATACTATTGCTAAACAGATGGTGGGAATAGGTTTATATTGAGAGAAATTCCTAACTGCACCTTTTTGTTTTTCAGGTGATTCTGAAAATAGAAGAGGAATAGGATTTAGAGACAGAGGTAAATGCCTTACAAATGACTTGCAAGCTAATAATAATAATAATAATAATAATACTTTCCATTTATTAATCGCTTTCCCCAGTGGGCTCAAAGCAATGTACAGTTACTCAATATAGACAAGGGACTAACAATGTTTGTAGGGGATAGGGAAGACAACATATATTCATTTTTAATTGCACGCGCCGTCACTGCCCGGTATAGACGTCTTTCTGGCTTGGTACTTATTGTATGAAAAGATGAGGAAGTTTCCTTGTTTCTATGATTTTTCTGTAATTCTGCTAAAATTGATCTTATTACACATCTTTGTCACTGTCTTTCTTTTTCCCCATTCTGCTGTCTTTAAACAGGACTGTTTATATGTGCTTATTGTTTACTAATTGTCCAGTAATTCTTTCAGACCAGCGAAATCTGTCTCTGATTATGCTTTCAACCTTCAGTGAACTGAATAGACCTAGATGGCTTATCCTTTTAAGTTGTGTTGTATTGTTAATGCTTTTTTGTATGTGGTTTTATACTTTGTTTTTTAACAGGGGGTTACAAGGGGAGCAACGAAGAAGTAATTGGAGGTGCTGGGAAAAGTAAGTGTACTTCTTCGTGGTTTCTGCGTATGACACTGATGGTGGGTGGAGCTAGTGGCAAAGGATTGCCTTGGCTCTAGAAGCTTCTGCAGTTTAAATCTGCACATGCTCAGTTCCCATCAGTGTGTCTGCACAGATTTTCACTTGAACATCAGTTATAGGTAAGCAGACTGTTTAAATATATGCAGTTATTCTATGCATTCTTTCGTTGACCTGACAGTCTGTTTTTCTAAACATTAATTTCCTTTAAGGTATGTGGAAATCGGATGGTGATGGAGAAGGGGGTGACTCTCTAGGTACGTTATACTGTAAGAAAATTAAGAGAGATTGAAGCATGTCTGACATAATGAAAATAAAAAAATCACTACCACAGCCTTACATTTGCAGGTCCAAAGGTGACATATGTGCCGCCGCCGCCACCAGACAGTGAAGATGCTATCTTTGCACATTATCAGACAGGAATAAACTTTGACAAATACGATAACATTCTTGTGGAAGTGTCCGGACGTGATTGCCCAGCCGCAATTCTGGTTAGTGATCGATCTTCTAATGTTCCAGAGCATGAGTTTAATGTAAAGTACTTAAGTCTAACTAAAGAATGCACAGAGACAGGATTTGAAGGAAAAGTAATTTTATCTTACGACCACACTGTATCAGGTTCTGTAGTTGTGTCATAGTTTGTGTTTAATCTTTAAGCCACTTTGAAATGGTTGACAAGCAGCTTACATATTTGGATATTTTTTTAAAAAATCACAAAAATATCAACCATACAGGGTATGGTGAATAACAGCAGCAGCTAAGCAGAAAGCAGCTAAAAGTGCAGTAGTAATAAATTGTTAAAGGTAAAGGTTTCCCTTGCTCGAAAGCCAGTTGAATCCAACTCTAGGGGGCAGTGCTCATCTCCGTTTCCAAGCTGAAGAACCAGTGCTGTCTGAAGACGTTTCCATGGTCATGTGGCCGGCATCACTAAATGCCAAGGTGCACGGAATGCTGTTACCTTCCCACCAAAGCGTTACTGTGATGAGTAGTATCTTATTTCATACATTGTGAGAAATCCCCTTCCCCAAGTATCCAGCTTGTACTCTTAAAGTGGAATGCAAGATTGACTTAATTTTGTTAGATGATGAATGATAGCTGCAAAATAGGTTTTCAAGTTGTACAGAGACGAAGGATGGGCGCGGACAGGGAAAATGGAGGTTCGTTGTGGTTCACAAACCACAAACCTTTCCATTTAACAAGCTGTTTCATGGTTCATGATGTCTGTGGCATGGTAGAATGGCCCCCCTGTGCACTAGAGACACCAAACTTGCAGTGAGTCTCCCGTTGACTCTCCTCTACCTGCTCTCCAAGTTTGATGAGGATTTAGGGGGGCAGAGTTGCAGCCCCCAAAGCAGGTGCCCCCAGGAAAGTGCTTAGAAGTGTGTTGAATGGACTCCTACAAGCTAGAGACATCAAACTTGCAGGGGATGCCCTTCTACCTGCCCCCCAAGTCTGATGAGGATTGGCTGGGGGTGTAGTAGCCCCCTAAAGCAGGTGCCCTGGAAAGTGCTCTCTGGGGAATCACAGCCACAGGTTGGTGTTTCCAGGGCCGCAGAAGTCCACCACCACCACCACCCGATTGCCTGGACAATTTAGTCATCAGCGCCAGCATATCTGGCCCACAAACCGCTCCCACAAACTGGGCGTGTTGTGTGCCTGACTGCTGGCATAAAGTGGGAGAAAGAAAATGGCATTCTACTCTTACAACTGTAAAATGCAGCTTTTAATTAAATATATGTCTGGACAGTCTTTCCATAGACTTTTTTTTTTTTTGTGGGAAGGTGTACAAGGGATTTTCAGGAAGCTGCCAATGAAAAGGGTTCAGAATTTTCAAGTTTGTGGCTATTTGTATGTTTGCCAGAAATAGGGTAAACAGGTCTTAGTTTTTATGACAACAGTTTGGTCGCTGTGCTCATGCACACTCCTCCTTCCGCCTTCGCTGTGTGGAGCATAGAATAAAACTTCAAGCTCCCAGTTTACAATGATGTCCAGTCATGGACAGTACCTCAGTGAATTGAGTTTATTTACTCCACATACTTTGAATTCACCAATGGGCTGCATATGTATATCATGGTGAATGGGAACTTGTTCATACCAGTAAGTTTTGCATCAGGCTTTGTGCATGAAGGACATTGGAAGGAGCAAAGCTGCAACTTGTCATATCAAAATGCAGCCTGTGTGTGCTTGGAAGGCATTCTCCATTCCTTCAAATAGAGAATGTGTATAAGTAAAATATAACAATCATTTTCTTAGACCTTTGAAGAAGCTGGTCTCTGTCAAACATTAATGAAGAATATTGCGAAAGCTGGATATTCTAAACTTACCCCTGTGCAGAAGCATAGCATTCCTATTGTGCTGGCAGAACGTGATTTAATGGCATGTGCCCAAACAGGATCTGGGAAGACAGTGAGTATAAAATTGCAAAATCCGGCTACTTGCAGTAGCAGTTTTTATTATGTGGAACGTGTTAAACTGCCTTATTCTGAACCACAACATTAAAAAAACAGTGGGGGAACATTTTAACCTTCCAGGACATTCAGTTGCTGGCCTAAAAGTAGCAGTTATCTTACAAAGGTATTTCTTTTCTTTTACAATTTTTTTTTAAAAAAGGGAACAACAACAATACAAAAAGTTGATCACTCCATAAAAGCTGGCACACATTAAACTACATCAAGACCACTATTAAATCAACAAAATGAGGGTCATAAAGAACGTGAAACCACAGAGGGGCAAATTCCATCTTCAAAACAACTAAACCCCAACATGAATCAATCAAAGGAATTTCAAAGGGAGATTAGAAAGAGAGGCTGCTGAATTGCATATGATAATGAAACTCGAGACGATGCATCTACCTGGATTTAATCGAGACCTGGGTTTCCTGTCTCATTACCAATACTGATTTCTCCACGCCTGCTACCTCTCTCCATATCATACCTAATCCAATCACACCTGCTATTGTCATTTGCCTGCTAATGTCATTTGCAGTCATTCACTTAACACTGGAGAAAAAATGCTGTTTCTCTGCCCGAAACGGCATTTTTTCTCCAGTGTTAAGTGAATGACAGCTATTGTTTTTAACTGGAAGTTCTTGTATACTCACCTGCTAATGTCATTTGGCATCTGAAATCACTCCACTTTCTAATATATAGGACAGATGGACTCACATTCTAGCTCGGGTGGCCAAACTTGCTTAACATAAGAGCCACATAGAATAAACATCAGATATTTGAGAGCTGAAAGACATGAACAAATATTACATGTTTTTACTGAAAAATATGCAGATTTGCTTTTTATTAACATTAAATGAGACCACAAAAATAATAACAAAAGTGGTAAAAGCAGATATTGATAATGATATTTATTTGTTCAATGATAATTTGTTTGCTAATGATATTTAGCTTCCCCAACCACCCTGCCGAGAGCCGCACAATATGTATGAAAGAGCCGCATGATTGAGGTTTATGAGATTATGCATAGGGAAGAGCAGGTAGAGAAAAAGGTACTTTTCTCCCTTTCTCACTATACAAGAACTTGTGGGCACTCCATGAAATTGCTGAGCAGTCGGGTTAGAACGGATAAAAGGGTACTTCTTCACCCAAAGAGTGATTAACACTTGGAATTCACTGCCACAGGAAGGGGTGGCGGCTACAAGCATGGACGGCTTCAAAAGGGAATTAGATAAGCATATGGAGCAGAGGTCCATCAGTGGCTATTAGCCACAAGGTATAGATAGGGACTCTGGAGCAAGTGATGCTCTGTCATCTTGGTGCTTGGGGGGGGGGTCAACAGTGGGAGGGCTTCTAATGTCCTGGCCCCACTGGTGGACCTCCTGATGGCACTGGTATTTCTGGCCACTGTGTGACACAGAGTGTTGGACTGAATGGGCCTTTGGCCTGATCCAGCATTGGCATCTCTTACGTTCTTATGCTTCCGAGCCAGTTTGGCCACCCCTGTTCTAGCTGTATCTGTAGAAGTGAGCAGTGACTCATGAAAGCTCATACCTTACCACAAATGTTGTTCGTCTTTAAGGTGCTACTACAGGTTCTTAGCCACAGTGGGGCATTTGGGGGCAGAGCTCCACCCATGAGCCCTGCCCCCACCACCTGATAATGCCAGATACCCACACCTGCAGTGTGCCTAGCTCCCGCAGCAGGGAGAGGCTAAGGAAAGTAAGGGAAGCTACCCTGCAGTTTCTGGTCAGTTTCATTCCCCTGGGATCAGCCGTTAAACCTAACAGCTGTTCCTCCAGGAGTGAAACCAGAAGCAGCAGGGCAAGTTTCCTTCCCTTCCCCAACCTCCCCACTGCTGGGGGGTAGGGGGCTGGTGGAGAGAGAGAAGGCATGGTGATGGTGGTGGGGAAGCCAATCTCTTTCCCATAACTTTCCATGGCGGAGGGAAGCCAGTCTCCAGGTGGTGGCTGGAGATCACCTAGCATTACACCTGATCTCCAGGTTGACTCTGTGGCATTATATCCCCATTTAAGTTCCTCCCCAAACCCTACTCTCCTCAGATTCCATCCCAAAACCTCCAGTTATTTATTTATTTTGTTAAGTATAAGCATAATGGGTGGCCCACAAGAAAAAAAATGCCTCACAAAACGAAAAATCCTGGCTGCGGCCCTGCTGGACTTTTACTCTTTTCCGCACCAGACCATTAGTCTATCAAGGTCATTATTGTCTACTGAGACTAGCAGTGGCTCTCCAGGTTTTTGGATGGAGGGCTTTCACATAACTTGATCCTTTTAAGTGGAGGTGCAAGGGGTATTAGCTTGAAAATGAAAAATTTCAAAATTCCAATTTGCTACAGAACTGCTACAACTGTGAAGCTTTGTTTAATGTATGAAGATGAAAACACTGATATTTAAGACAGCGATTTTCGAACTCTTATAGTGGGCCCCACATCTAGACTCTACTTTTCAGGGCACATTTGAAAAATCGATGCTGCATCTCCCTCACTAATATAAAAAGCTGAAGTTTTGCATTTAATACTGAACAAGTTTGTATTTTTAGTATATATAAATACAACATCACTGAGCAACAAGGATATGTTTCATGGCTATTTTGAACATCATATTGTCATTTTAGTTTCCTATAGCCTTCACTCCCAACTCACTCTGTTTCTCTACCTCTTTCCTGGACTCACAGCCCGTTTTTGTGTTCCAGCCTACAGTTTGAAAACCACTGTTCTAAGGATTTGTTTCATTTGCGAGCAAAATACGTATTCTGGAGAAGTGTTTTTATAGATAATTAGTTTTTATTAGAGCCATTATCTCCCCACAAGGATGATCTACTTTACAGGGGACATTTGGGGATTTTAGGCAGCCCCTTCTCCCCACTTGGCGTAGCTTCTGCTAGCCAATAGAGGATTGTTTTATACTGCTCCCCTTGCCAAAAGGATAAAGTCTAACTTCTCCATCAGTGGAGGAAGATTGGGAAGAGGGGAAATCTGATAATAATGTTGCTTGCTTAATGCATGGTAGCAAATTAAAGATTAAGAAGCACTGTTATTGTCCAAGTGATGGTACAGTTTAACTGGAGGTTTCTTAATTAATCTTAACCTTGCTTCCTGAAAATGCAAGCTTCAACAAAGACACTTTTTTCCCATAAGCCTCCGTAAAATGTCACTGATGCATATTGATGTTACGTTGGCCCTGATAAGGTGATAGTACTTGTAATCTTAGGACCTAAACTGGAATGTATATATTGGCAATATTACTTTCTCTAATATCTGTAACTGCCACCGACACAAGGCCAGATACGTTTGTGGCCTCACATACCTTTTTGTGTAATTTAATTCCAGATTGGAACATTCATGTTTGGGTCCTATATCAATTGCTTACTGATTTACAAGTTAATGGGCTTTGTTATATGCTGTAGTCTGTACTATTTGACCTCTGAAAAAGTCTTTTCTGGGCTGAAAAACATCAGGTCATACATGACATTATGAGGCTTTCCTTGGGCCCCTACAAGGTTTTTAACTGGTTTTGAAATCAACGTGTACTTTTGTCTATAGTTATGTATGTTTTTAACTTTTGGCCCTTTACTAGTTTTCTGAACTTTCTTTAGAGGTGTTGGATTTCTGAACTGAAATATCTGTTCTTTAGGCAGCTTTTCTAATACCAATTTTGGCTCAAATGATGCGAGATGGAATTTCTGCCACTCAGTTTAAAGAGCAGCAAGAACCAGAATGTATAATAGTAGCTCCAACAAGAGAACTTGTCAATCAGATCTTCCTTGAATCAAGAAAATTTGCATATGGGTAAGTATTTAAGCAAAATATATCTGAAAAGTAGAGCTCCCAGTCTGTCTGTGTGTTTGAAAAGAGTAGTGGTCCTGTGGCACCAGCATTGGTTCCCTTTCCACCAAATGATAAAATAGCCTATGCTGTAAGTAGGTGGCTGAACTTAGATCACAAGAGCACGCTGGTACTTTCATAACTTCAGAAACTCTCTCAAGTTGGATAGGATAAGCTGTAGTTCCATATGGTGAGGCAAGCTGTCAAATTCTGTTGTTCCTGAATCAGTAAAATGCTGGCTATTCTGCAGAGCTGTGGATGAAAAAAGGAAACTTAGTTAAATTTGAGCTTCTTGTTTTCTGTTGCATGTGACCACAAATTCTGTTACTAGGTTTTGGATGTATAAATTTGAGGGAGAAAAATGAGCCCAAACTTCCCATCAATTGTTGTTCAGTCGCACAGTCGAGTCCGACTCTTCGCGACCCCATGGATCATCTCCCGCCAGGCCCTCCTGTCTTCCACCGTCCTCTGAAGTTGGCTCAATTTCATGTTCGTTGCATCGATGACACTGTCTAACCATCTCATCCTTTGCCGTCCCATCAATTACTGTTCAACAACTAGGAAATAAGCATGATTAGGGCATATGCTACAGGAAACAAAGTAGCTGCTCCTTGTGACCTGTATGACAGTGAAGCTTTCCTTCTCAAACCTGCACTGCTTGAAGTAAGGGTTGTATGAACTCACAGGAGGTTACCATCACCTCTCCCAGAGGGTGATATTGGCACAGTCTCTTTGTACCTTCTTTAGCAGGTTTAAGTTAATACTGTATTGGCCTGAGTATATGATGACACCCCGCCGGGAAAAACCACACGGATTTTTTTAAATGACTGTACCTAAAAGTTAGTATGCAAATTTAAAATGATCCCCTCTATTTCTTGATGGTGGGCGGTGGGGGGAGGAGAAGGAAACGTTATCTTTTTGGGTAAATGCAGTGTGGGAGACTTCAATGGGAGTGTGAATGGTGTGGTTAGAGTTCTCCAGAATGAAATTGTTGTATGTTTATTATATTGTGTTTATTTTGGTATTTCATGGCTTTGAATGCTTCATGCTCTTCTAATAGAGGGGTTGGTGGTTCTTTGGTAATGTGTGCCTTACATAATCATTAAAATGGCATTTGGTGAGATTGACCTCTATTAAATGACATCTGGAAGAAAAGGAATTTGCATGTTAAAGAATTTGGGTTGTTTAAATTGAGAAGCCTCACCATGTTTAGGTCACTTAACAGCACAATATCTGCTTAAAGTTGATGGAGAAGCCAAAGCCAAATTATTCCCTTCTAAGCCTATTGACTTCAGGTGACTTAGGATAAAACGGCACTGATTTGGTGATCTCTTTTAAATCTTAGGAGATTTTGACTCAAAGGGAAAATCCATAAGTCCATGGGTATTAACTGTGGGGTCACTATGAATGCCAGGTGTTATCTCTGTATAGCTATGTTTTTTACATGAGTGCATCAGATGCATCAAATGCATGGCACTATTTTAAAACCGACTGCACAGGGGTTTCTTTACATATTTGATTTGTATAATGATATTTACAAATATGGAAAAAATATGTCTAGCACAACTACATCTAATTTCAGATACAGCCCATGAAACACTTCTACTATACTAATTTAATACATTTCAGTGGGAGTTGTACAGGGTTTGTACTGAAATTATACACTTTAATTTAAGTACAAATGCTGCATGTTTTAGAGTATGGGTTAGAGATGAAGAGTTCCTGGAAATTTTGAAACCACTGGAAACACACACACCCTCCCCATTTTTAGGGTAAAAATGGAAATTTGGGGGAAATTGGACAATGTGAAGTATTTATTGTCTTACAGTATAAAAGGCATTAGTTATAACTTAGCATATAAAATTGCAGTATTTGACATTTTTATAATTTAAAAGTTATAAATCAGGGGTGTCGAACTGATTTGTTAGGATGGCCGGATCTGACATAAATGAGACCTGCTGGGCCGGGCCATTTGTGTCATAAAATGTAATGCTAGCTAACAGAGATATAAACTTCATAAAGGACACAGGGTTTTTTTTAAACTTAAAATAAGAACATGCTTAAAACATTAGTACTCCTGCAATATTTTGTTTATTTAACTGTTTGATAACTGACACCTCTTGCTCTGAATTATTGCATCAAAATGTCTGCTGTTGCAGTCTTGAGTATGCAGGTGTGTATCTGTAAGCTGCAAACCTACAATGATGCAGCAGCAGCAGAACTAGAAGAAGAAGCAGAAGACAGCCAGTTTCACTGCGGGCCTGATAAAAGCCCTCTGGGGCCTGATGCGGCCCCCAGGCCGCGTGTTTGACACCCTTGTTATAAATGCCTCAGATCTGTTCAAGTAAAATTGCAAATATACCCAATATTTGAGAGAGAATTGCAAGTTGATGCACCATATGCTATCTTAGCACATGTACCTTACTTTTTGGTATCCGGTTAGAGATAGCTAAGTTCTCAGTGAAATGTCCAGTTTTCCACTGAAGCTTTGGTACATTTTCTGCCTCACCTACTTGTTACCCTTTCCCCTCCTCCCTCCTACAAGTTACTTTTATTCATCCGGTGGTAAATGTGTCAGTGGTTTGAGGGAGAGGTGAAAAGGACAACAGAAAGCATGCACCTGTTGAGAAGCAATGAAAGCCTTGCACGCTCCATTCCCCGGTGAAGATTAGATATTCTTCTTGGTGCAGAAATGCATCTTGGATTTAAGAGCTGTATATATCTACAAGCATGCCCACCTTGCATTTCATTCTTTCTAAAAGAGAAAATATTTCATAGGAGTTTTTTTAAGTACTCCCCCAAATTTCTGATTGTTCACTGGAAAAACTGGAAAAGCCTCAAGAAAAAAGCCCCCCCCCCGACAACAGAAAGCATGCACCTGTTGAGAAGCAATGAAAGCCTTGCACGCTCCATTCCCCGGTGAAGATTAGATATTCTTCTTGGTGCAGAAATGCATCTTGGATTTAAGAGCTGTATATATCTACAAGCATGCCCACCTTGCATTTCATTCTTTCTAAAAGAGAAAATATTTCATAGGAGTTTTTTTAAGTACTCCCCCAAATTTCTGATTGTTCACTGGAAAAACTGGAAAAGCCTCAAGAAAAAAGCCCCCCCCCCAGTTGTCTCAATTTTTTCCCAGGCCTTCACATCTCTAGTAGGGGTGTGAGCCAGTGTGGTGTAGTGGTTAAGAGCGGTGGACTCTACTCTGGAAAACTGGGTTTGATTCCCTGCTCTTCCACATGAAGCCAGCTGGGTGTCCTTAGGCCAATCACAGTTCTGTCAGAGCTCTCTCAGCCCCACCTACCTCACAGGATGTCTGTTGTGGGGAGAGGAAGGGAAGGTGATTGTAAGCTGTTCTGAGACTCCTTTGGGTTGTGAATAGCAGGGTATAAAAATCAACTTGTATCAAAAAAATGGAGAAGGCATGCTTTTGTTATTCCAAGTTCTGGGGACTCTTCTTACCAGTTGAGGATCTTTTTCAGGTATTTTTTCTAGGTTCCAAAACTTCGTGCCCATTTTAGCCATTTCTTCCCACCGCCCCCCAGGAAGTGGGGGAGAGCTGGTATCACCAAAGAAATGTTACTGAGCATCTCTTGTCCCTTTAAAGTTTAAAGGGCCATTGTTTTCTATGAGAAGACCTGACCTCTGAAATTGAGGGCCCAGTGTTCCTATAGAAAATAATGGCTGTAGTATTTCCTGTGGGTGGTAGGCATAGCCTTCAAAGTCAAGTCCACCCACCCAATCAAGTGTAGTCATGCTCTGGCCGCTTTAAAATTTAAAGGGCCATATTTATGGGGGTAGACCTGGCTTCTGATTTCAGTGGACAGGTTTTCCCATAGAAAGTAATGACTCTTTAAAATTTAAAGGAAGGGAGATGTGACCAAATAGCTGCTTGGGGTACCAATTTCCTCCTTCTCTCTCTTAGCTCCTGGTGTGGAAAACCTGAAAAATTCCTAAAATTCCATGGGATAAATTTCCGTTATTCCTAGAATTCGGCCCCATTTGGGGTTATTTTGGATATTCCCCCCCAAATACCTGATTTGTGGTTTATTTTTTGCTTAGGTACATCAGAGTGCACATTTCTACCTAGAGTGCAATGTAGTGGAAATGCTTGAGAGTTTACTTCACACTATTTAACTATCATTTATGTTAAAAGTTTATCCAGAAAGTAAATAATGTGGTATTATATTATAAAATGTTAATACCAAGCTGCTTGTTCAAAATATAATATAAACAGTTGTATGAGGCAGTCAGTTCATCATGAAAATATAATTTTATTTTCCTGTTGACTAGAACTTGTATAAGGCCAGTTGTGGTTTATGGAGGGACGCAGACAATTCATTCAATTCGTCAGGTAATGCAAGGCTGTAATATATTATGTGCTACTCCTGGAAGGCTTCTGGATATCATAGGCAGAGAAAAGGTAAGTAAAAGTTTTCTGGATTCTATTTATCTGTTGAATTCATGACATTGTTTTACTATGGCTGTGTGTTTGTGATGAGGACAAGCCTCTGAAGATCTTGGACTCGCTCAATCTTTGACGTGGTCTCTGTGCTTCACACCCATGGGATACAGTGCGCATGCACTGGATCAGTCAGCATTGTAGCAAGCTCTTAACGGATTTTTGTGCCCAGACCTTGGGCATGTGCAGGAACCCCACCACGCATGCCCAGAGGGGTGGGCGCGGACATCCCGCCAGTTCCTTTCTTTCCGCCGCGCTGGAAGCACCTTCCTTTCGTTGGTCTGATCGGTAGCTATTTTTCCTCAGAGGCTCTTTGGATTTCTCTTCAGTTTTCTTTATTTTCCATGTCTATCTTTGTTTATTGTTTTCTTTCTTTTTTTTAAAAAAAGACTTGTTTAGTTGAGGGGGAAGTTTTTTCATTTACCTCACTTTAGCCTTCGCGCTTCCCCCCCACACCTCTTTTTCTTCTCCATCATTATTTTATGGAGAAGAAGTGGGGCTTTTTCAAGCATTGCAAGGGTTGCGGCAGTAAGCTTGCTCCACCTGACGGCCACACCCTTTGCATTTTTTGTCTTGGCGAGACACACCGGCCAGAGTCCTGTCGGCACCGCGCTAAGTTTTCAAATCAGACCAGGAAAAACCGAGCAGCGCGTCTCCAGGTGGCGTTACTGGAATCGGCGCTAAATCCCACTTCCGTCATGGATCCAGAAGTGCCAGTAATGCCATTGATGGCTCCAGTATCGAAGTCCTTGTCTGATATCGTCCAGTCAACATTGAAGTGTTTGGCACCGATGGCGCAGTCTTTGGCATCCACTCCCGTGAAGAAGAAGAAGTCGGGTAAGGAGCACTAGTCGGCCAAAAAGGGCTCCTCTAAGGCCCTAAAGGCGGTGAAGTCTGGGAAAGTAGTGGGTCCTGCACCGGGTGGTGCCCCCTGCTCCAACGGCAGTATCGGCATCGGAGGCTCCAATCGCTCCACCTATACCGACCATCCAGCTAATGGACTCTCCCATACACCAGCTAGACCATGACACGCTGGTCAATATGCGTCCTTTCTCCGACATCGATCATCTCGAGATCCTCAGTCGTCCCCTGGGCATGGATCGCTCTCCCTCTGCTCAGTCATCGACTTCTACGGTCTCGGAGTTCTATGCCGATATCAACCCAGATCGGCATCGACAGATCCCTAAAAGCACTCAGCGTCATCCTCCCCGTCTGTTTGCCGAGGATCGGCCCTTCGATATCGATGATCGGACTAATAGGGGCTGCGCACGGAGACGAGATCCTACACTGTCTCCCAGACGCTCCCGCTCTAGGAATAGATCCCCATGAGTCTTCCTGCCCCCACCACCTCCGGCTCTCTCCTGGGATCACCGCCAACTGCGTTATCTCTGTGGGGCTTATCCACCCGCATCCATGCCATGGTTGACTCCAGCAGGTTACTCTGATTGGGATCATTACTCTGCCCACAGGTCACGGTCACCCTATAGATCGAGGCCTTTAGCATCTCTCTCCCGTCCTCCGGATCATCCATCTGATGACCTTCCTCGACATCGACCGGATCAATATCGTCCTCCCAGTCCCCCTAACCCACTGTCAGCAAATCTGACTGGTCAAATCAAAACCACTTTGGTACAATTACCAGAGCCCGATTCCTCTGACTCGGCGGATGAGGATTCCGATACGGGGGCTTCAGATGTGGGGCTTCAGATGTGCACAGCTCCCCTGACCAGCTGTCTCCTAAACAGGCAGTAGCCAATGACCAACCTATATATCCGTCTGATAATTTAACCTCCTATGGAGACCTTATAAAAAGAATGGCACACTCCCTTGGACATTCAGTTGTACAACCACATCCACAGGTAACAGATGCCGTCTTCGATGTTGTGCAGCTAGATACATCGACAGCTATAGCACTACCCATGTCCACGGTCCTGTTACAGGCATCTAAATCTCCATGGGATAAACCGTCATCGGCTCCAGTGTCCACACGTCGCTTGGACCATATGTACAGAGTCCAAGAAACAGGAGCAGAATTCTTAATTGCCCATCATTCTTAATTACACTACATCGGTGCACTACTGGACTCCACAAATTGCACAGCCTACCTGCCACAAAACAGAGCAGCAGACATAATCAATCTAGCCACTGTCATGCGTTCTCGGCCTTCAGTGGCGGCTTTCTAAATACAAAGGCTACTTGGCCTCATGGCCGCTACTACATCAGTTCTGGTTTTTGCCGAATTAAAAATGCGTCACCTGCGACTCTGGTTTATCTGCAATTTCAATCCAGAGTGAGACACACACTCCACCCACCTATTCCCACCTATCAAAGTACGGGATTCTTTACTTTGGTGGACTGTCCCTTCCAACCTATTCCAGGGAGCACCCTTCCATCCTCCATTACCCCAAATTACCCTAACTACAGACGCCTTCCTCTCGGGCTGGGGCGCCCACATGATGGGACTTTGTGTCGGAGGCAGATGGGGGACACAGAAAAGGAATCAGCACATCAGTTTTCTAGAACTGCTTGCAATACAGTTCGCTGTCACCAGTTTCCTACCCCTGATCAGGGGAAAGTGTGTCACGGTCCTCACGGACAATACTACTGCCCTCAGCTATGTGAACAAGCAAGGGGGCACCGTCTCCCAACGCCTCTGCGACCTCGCCCTCCGGTTATGGGACTTCTGCATCGCCCACAACATCTTAGTCGCCACGCACGCACATCCCGGGGCACATGAATGTGCAGGCGGACCACTTGAGTCGGGCAGGACTCAATCTGCACGAGTGGGAAATGAATCCATCTTACCTTCTCCCACTCTTCCACAAGTGGGGGTTCCCCCAGATGTTTTCGCCACCAGGGCAAACAAGAAGTGTCCTCTGTTCTGCAGCCGAGGAGGCAGGGACCCACAGTCTTTGGGGGATGGTCTCCTCTACCTGTGGTCCAGAGACTTCCTCTTCCCCCCACTGCCTCTGCTTCTGAGAGTGGTGTGCAAAATCATCAGCGACAGAGCGGATTGTATCTTCATATCCCCGTGGTGGCCGAGGCAGCTGTGATTCTCAACCATCCTGGATCTGTCAGCGGGGATCTACCACCAATTCCCGCCGGTTCAGGACCTCTTGTTCCTATCCGTGTCCCCTCTCCTATACCACAATGTTCCACGACTGAAGTTGACAGCCTGGAGAGTGGTATCAACAGTTCTTCCTCCCGCATAGTGAATGTGTTGCTGAACTCTAGAAAGTCCACTACACAAAAATCTTATCATTACAAGTGGCGAAAGTTTTGTTCCTCCTTGGGTGAGGATACCCCTCGAGCCGCCTCCGCGGGTCTCGAGAAGGTTTTTGACTTCCTTCTGTCTCAGCTGACTCAGGACTGTCACATTCCTTGTTGAAAGTTTATTTGGCTGCACTTTCAGCCTACCATGTTCAAGTTGAGGGATGCACTCTTTTTTCACATCCTCTTTCTAAACATTTTTGAAGGGGCTGTTAAACCTTTATTCTCCCATCAAAAAGTCCTGTCGTCCCCTGGGACCTCCCCTGGTACTTCGCCAACTCACCAGAAAGCCTTTTGAGCCACTCACGACTTGAGAGTTGAAATTGCTGTCCTGGAAAACAGCTTTCCTGGTGGCTGTCACTTCGGCGAGGCGAGTGAGGGAAATACTGGCTTTGACATGATTCTCCTTACCTGTCGTTTTTGCCAGACAGCGTCCATCTTGTTCCTGATGTCTCATTCTTGACAAAGGTAGTTTAGAGTTTTACCTACAGGCAGAGGTCTTCCTCCCGGATTTCTTTCCCGCCTTGCCTTAAAAAACAAGTCTGCCTCACCACCTAGTGATGCATAATGCTAAAGAGCTAGAACTTCTAGCTGCCAGACAGTCTTAGGATCTCCTGCTTCTCCACGGCTGGGTACTCGCATCACGGCTCAGCGCCTGTCAAACTGGATTGTGGGTCTCATCCATCTATGTTACCTGATCGCCAAACAGCCATTACCTGGCCCTATCAGGGCTCATTCTACCAGGGCTGTCGCGACTTCCACTGCCTTCCTCCAGGGAGTGCCACTGACGGACATTTGCGAAGCCGCTACGTGGGCCACGCCTAACACCTTCATCAGGCACTATGCCCTAGACGTTTGTACGAACACCAATACCATCATGGGACGTCATATTCTATCCTCGGCTACGCAGTAGAGGACTTGCCAGCACCCTCCTCCAGGTAGGCCACTGCTCGCTAATCTCCCATGGGTGTGAAGCACAGAGACCACGTCGAAGATAAGCAGGTTGCTTACCTGTAACTGGTGATCTTCGAGTGGTCATCTGTGCATTCACACCACCCGCCCTCCTTCCCCGCCGCTGTCAGCTTCTACATTTTTCATAGGGGTTGATTTGCGGCGGTTTGAAGGAACTGGCGGGATGTCAGTGCCCACCCCTCTGGGCATGCGTGGTGTGGGTTCCCGCGCATGCCTGATGTCTGGGCGTGAAAATCCGTTAGAGCTTGCTACAATACCGATCGATCCAGCGCAGGCGCACTGAATCCCATGGGTGTGAATATACAGATGACCACTCGAAGATCACCAGTTACAGGTAAGCAACCTGTTTTTCTCTTCCTCTTCATTTTCAGGGAATGAGGGTAGGGATTATCCACTTTAGGAGACAGAGGGCAGAATGTGTTTTTCACTTCTTTCAAAGGCTCATCCAACCACAGTCACCTAGCTTTCAGATTGGTTGTTAAGATGCAGTAGCTCAGCTGCAAGAGTTCTAGTTGGCCAATTGGCACCAAGGACATATAGTTCTAGTAGAGTTGGTCACAGGTAATTCCAGTATCAAATATTTTAATTCTTTTCCTCTTAAAAGGATTTTATTGTATACAGATAAGTACTTTGCATCTGCAGAAAATAATAGCTAATTAAATACTAGAAATTTTGTGTCGTGCTGCTTTTTGCCAGTTTGTATGGGCCACTCAGCTGTCCTGCCTACGCCCCCCCCCCCAATTCAGCTGGGATCTGAAAAATTACTGAAATGTTGTGCCCACCGAGACCAATGTGTTTCTTACTCTTTTGAGAACATGAGAGAATAGACGTCTCCATCATGTGTGCGTAGCTGCCACGTACTTCAAAAAGGAGTTGTCTGGTGCACAGTGGAAGGAGGGGAGGGCTTGGTGGTCTGTAAAGCCTTTTAAATAAAAATGGGGGTTCTCAGGTTGCGAATGTCTGAGGACTGCTGACATTTTGTTCATTTATGATTGCTAATATATTATGTTACATGAAGTTAAAGTATACTGTGATATACCTTAAAAGTATGAAGTGTAAGCATATTTCCAAAGTGAGGTTTTTATACCTTTATTTTAACGTAGCTGTCATATACTAGTAGAAATGCTTATCCTGTGGCCTGACTTTTCTCATGTTTTAGATTGGGTTGAGCAACGTAAGATACTTGGTTTTAGATGAAGCGGATCGTATGCTGGATATGGGATTTGGGACAGAGATGAA